TGGTTGGGAAAGGTGAGAGCCACTGCCTTACATTATAAAGGGCTATGGATGACACCATCAGTGGACTGGGGGGGGACTGAGAAGGAAGGTGGGGATATCTACAGGCCTATCCAGCCCTGATGCCAGACTGACCTGGATCGCTGAGTCCAGAGGAAGACGAGGAGCCTGACACAGCCCAGTGGCTTGCCCTGTCCCCGATATGGCCACAGCATCGGCTGAGGACAATGGGGACTATGCCAGGGATGTCCCCTGGGGGAATCAAAGCTGACCTGGGACAGAAGCTGCTCACCCTAAAGTCACCGTCCTCTCTGGCTCCCTTTCACCCGAGCTCCCTGGGTTTTCTGTGCCTGCTTTTGTGACAGGATCCCAGTGTCTCGCACGGATTAGCGGCGTTTTTCTGCCAGCCTTAAAAGGTCGCTCTGTGGCTGGTGCCTGCAGGAACCGGGACCAGCAATGGGCTGGCCTAGGGCTGAAATGTGGGGTGCTGGGCTCTGAGCATTGGGTTGGAGAAAGGGGGGTGGGGGTTAGCTTTTCTTTCCTCCTTCGAAATAATATAGGAGAATTGAGTTTCTCAATGCTTCCCCCTCCCAGAGCCCTTTGTCTTGAATATCGATTAAACAGGGTCTTTAAAGGAGTCGGAGGCCATCTTGGAAGGCTCTTTGCAGTGTTATTTCTGTAACACTGAGCCCAGACTGCAGATTGCAAAACTACCGGTGTGTGTGTGTGTGTGTGTGTGGGGGGGGGGTCTGTGGAGATAATCCATCATCTGCCGGGCCAATCCCCTCTATCATTTTCCATTCCCCTGCCTCTTGTCCAGGGAGAGTCAACAATCTGCCTAGCATACACCATATAGAGGAGGGGAGAGGGGCCCTGCCCAGGCACTGCGATGCACTGGGCCTTTAAGGACACAGCCACAGCCCTGGGAAACAGGAGCTAAAATCCTGCAAAAGGGGGGCAGGAAAAGCCCCTCTGCCCCCCCCCATTTTTGCAATCACTGCAGCTGGCTCACCCCCCTGGGGGGCTTTTATCCCCTCCCCCGGGTTTCCCCTTCTGCCCTGGCTGGCAGTGCCTGTACCCAACTCCTACCCCCGGTCCTTGATTTGGCCCCTGGGCCCCGCTCCTTCCCCAAGCTGTTGTAACACCCCCCCCCCCCCCCCGTGCATTCAGTTTGGCCCCTGCCCAGATTCTGCCCCTGCGCCCCCCAGGAACAGCCGGGAGCTGCTTGTCAGCCCAAGGGGGGGGGGCAGGGTGCGGGCAGGGCGGGCCAGCAGATCTCACCGAGCAGCAGCCTCCGTTCACACCAGCGCGGCCAGGGGCTGGGAACACAAAGCACCAGATTTGGGGCAGCAGGTGACTCCGGCTCCCACCCCCGTCTGCCCCCGTGTCGCTGTCCCAGCCCCCAGCACTGCCCAGGCTGGTTCCCCCCGCCCCGCACACACCGGGAGCTGGCGGCAGCTTTCCCGGGCCCAGGGCGGGACTCGCAGCCAGCTCCGCTGGGAGCAGCCTGGGGCCAAACCTCCCCCTGCAGCCCGGGGGTGACGGGGACACCGCTCCCTGGGCGGGGTCTCTTACCTTCCCTCCG